TCGGTCCACACTAGATTGAGTTGCAATTCCACCCTACTTGACTGTGTAAAATGGTAATTCATGAGCCGATTCAATCAGATTTGTTACAAACATTCTCATCGATAGAAAAACTTGATAAAATATCCAGTTTGAGTTGAGAATTCACTCAAAAATGTCAGTAAATCAGTAAATTCACTCACAACCACATATGCATTCACTCAAAGGAATTTTCTACAGTGTATATGATTTACAGCATCTATGAAGTGGTGAGTTCTGAAGAACATTATTGAGTAATTTGGTATATTTGCTACCCACCAATTTTCAAAATACGATCCCGAATGATACAGAAAAACAACACTGGCCGTTTTCTTCGTTTTCTGTCTGTATACAGAAAAGGGCACAAAAAGGCCAGTGCTGTAACTTCTGAATCATTCGAAGTTGGATTATGAAATTTGGTAGGTAGCAAGTCTTAGGTCATTTTCAGAATGCACGCTTTTTATCACTCATATATCAAGGAAGAATAAGAATTTGGTCGAAGTGTTTTGTCATAATCAGTAGTAGTATAGTTTGTGGAATTCGTATCATGACAACATGCATCTTGTTGTCAACCCTTGGTGACAGCAAACATCAAACTGAAATTTATGAAAACAGCTCTGAAAATGGTTAACGGTTATGGAACAAGAAATCGAGAAATACCCCAAGAAACTATTGACACTGCTTCTGCAGTGATTCTTAACTTGCTACCAGTGAGATCTAGAACTCTGTACGATGCAGCTTCTACTCACTTCAGAGAAGGGTGTTCCGAAGAAAAAGCTCAGAGCTGTGCGGAAAATGTAAAGTTGGTATTAACTCCCTAGGGAGAAAATATGTCACATTATCTCCCTAGGGAATAATACGAGACTTCAGCCCCCCTTTTCTTACCCTAACTTCTACTCCCGCCGGCGTAAAAATGTTAGTTATAGAAACTAACCAAATTAGTTTTCTTGCTATTCTCAAAATATTAGAATAAAAACCAGATACCTCGGAGAATAGAATACATGTGAGTAATCCTGTTTTGAAGTGTTCCATAATAAATACCTCGAATTCAATGGTTTTAATTTACGACAAATTCTGATGAATGGAAAAAACTACATGTGGATAAATAGAAGAGGTGATGTCGAATACTGAAATCTCCAAATAATCCATAACTAATCAATTATTCGGAGCAGAGAAATGGTTGCCAGCTATGGTGATGAAAAAGGATAAGAATAATTGGGCAACAAAACGCAGATCTGTGGTCGTTTGCATAGAATGTATCTCATTTTTCAATAACCTCGGAATTGTCTGACAATGTCTCGATCATTGACCATAAATAACACTGAATCTTGACCTTTCCAACACGTCCGGACAACCGTGACCATTCATTAAGAATCTCACCATACTATTATGTACTATACTTCAACGTTTCAGCGTTGTAACGTAAGAAATCCCACCCATAAAATTATCTTTCAAGAGTGTATAGGTCACGTCACGTCCGGAAAGAACATCGTTACAGGTAACTTATAGGCCGAAAAGTCTTTAATGAGGATGGTATCTTGCTGTGTGTCTGTGGCACGTGTAGCTACGACTATAGTCAAGTTAATTATTTTGACATATTATCTTGCATTCCACTTCATATTGATTGAAATAATTATTTCAATTCAATTGATTCAAATATGGAAAAATATTATTAGTATATTACGTAATATGTGTTGTAAGAAGCATATTACGCACGAATGGAAAAGTAATTCCATGAGTGCGTATAATTGCTTTACAACACGCATTACCACCGAACATAAACACACGGAGAAAAAAAATCACTAGCCCTAAGTGAATATTTAATAGTGGCAAGTAAAAACTTGTATACTATATGGGACAAGGAAACAAGTTAATAACCACAAGAATATTTGTGTTCCTGAAAATGTACACCTACCACTATTGACCTGTTTCATTAAATTTCAAAGTGATAACGGTTAGTGAACACATCACTTGTCATCAGTGACCTATTCAGTTGTCATTAGTGACTCATTCACTTTTCATTAGTGACTTGTTCACTAGTCATTAGTGACCTAATTACATGTCATTAGTGACTTATCTACTAGTCATCAGTGACTTATTCACTTGTCAATAGTGACTTATTCATTTGTCATTAGCTAGTATGAAAAAGTACCTCCATTGTTCTCTGGAAAATGATAAAACCTTGGTAATAAGACAAAAACACATGCATTCAAAACATTTTATTATATAGGTATGATGAATCCAGAAAATACAAAAAAGGTAAGGCTGACGACAAATATTGAGATACTAGATACCGCGTATATCAGTATCATGCACCGAGAAAAACGGTAGTCTCACTCACTGCACTGCACTCTGGTTCACTATCTTTTTCCTTCCAGCATTGAAGATGAATCAACTTTCATACTTTTTAAACGTCACTTCCTTCCACTTCGAGTATTATAGGAAGTGGAAAAACATCCTGTATATATGTAGAAACAATTATGTACTGTTCTAGAAGAGTTTTGTATTTCATTATCTCCTTCAAGAAAACAGATCAAGAACTCAACACCCCACAGCTCAGAGCACGGCCACAGAGCACGGCACACAAACAGAGAATTCTCATACGAATATGATATATAGTAGTTGTTCGAAAGGGCACTTGCATGACTTGGAATTTCAATGTTACTAGCGGGAACGCAAGTATACTAACTTCACGAATGCTAAGATCGAAATGACGCCGTGGACTCGTGGACACTGGACAGTGATCGCGTTGGGCGTGGGTACTCGAATAATATCGGAGATGTCCGAACGGAAATGAGATCTATAACTACAGGTGAGCTGTCACCTGCAACAATCGACTTGATAGATTGTCTTTATTGATGAGTTCGCTCAGAGCAAGTGATCTTATGTCAGAAAAATAATTTAATAATAGTGAGTATTCGTTAACCTAGCACTAGTTTAGTGTTCACTTAGAATTAGCGAACTCTAAGTACATATCGACTTGGTTGATGCCAACAAGTGTTCTGATCACTTACAGCAGAAACTTCGTTCCAGAAATATAGTTTTGCCTACTGCAAGTACCATATTTTCCTACCGTTGGTGAAAATGTTCTTGTCACAATCGACTTTTTTTCAAGAAAACAATTTACTTGGCCGAGTTTTCTCAGTGCAGAGACTTGGTGGCATTACGTACTATACTTCACCTACTGCCATATAGTACAGCAAAAAAGTTTGGACAAACAGTCTGAATTAAAATTTACTTGCCTACTTTCTATAGTGGCCTTAGGTAAAACTAATTTCTCTATCATGGTGATTTGAACAGATAGTCGAATACTCTCTTGGTACTCTTTAAATGTAGTTAGTTAGCAGTTAGTTGTGACCGTTATCATGGGAGCATCCCGCGATGCCCATTTCCCACGATGCCCAATTCACACGATGCCCAATATTCCTACGAAGTCCACCTTCATGTCGACGAACAACGTTGCCAGGTCAAGAGAAAAATTTTGAAAACACAAGATTCTAGTGGTGCCCGCGAGAGTCTCGTTTTCGAGAGTCTCGCATGGTCTCGTCTCGTTTTCGAGACAAGACTCGAGACGAGACTCGGGCAATACGAGACGAGACTTTTATTGGTCTCGTCTCGAGTCTCGTGCAAGACTTCTCGTGTCTCGTGCGAGAGTCTCGCAGGTAAATATTTCTGCGTGCCGACTGCAGACTTGAGAGTTTCATCATAATACAACATAATTAGAAAGAATTCAGAAATTCATAAAAGTGCCAATATCTCCAATTCCCTTTCGTGCGCTTAAAGATATGAAAGAAAAATTCAGAGATTTCAGGAAAAACGGATTGTGACATTGAACCAGTTTGGGTTAAAACTTAGTACTTGAAATAATGAAGTCATCAATTTCTTGTAGAAGTCCATAGCTTCTCAAAGTGGAGTACAGTGGTTAAAACTGAATAATACACAAAGTCATCACCATGACAATTTATTGTGAAAACTCACGGGTTCATTGTGAATAATCAAATCAAGGGAACATGTTTTTGGACAAACGTATTTCCATCATCAGCCTAATAAGACATTACATATTCCAACAATGAGAAAAATTCAATAATTAACACGAGGAATCCTTACCATAGATAGATTACATAAAGGTGAAAGGAAAATTGTTATAACCTTAGAGAATTAAAGAACATGAAAGTTAAATGGTTAGTTGTTCTCATGGATATCCCCCTAGGAAGCAACTAACCATCCAACTTTCATGTTTTTTATTTCTCTACGGTTAGTATGAAAATTTTGTTCATCTTCATGTTAGCTATCTATTGTAAGGGTTCCTCGTGTTAACTAATTGATTTTTCTCATTGTAGGACTATGTAATTTCTTGTAAGACTGATGATGAACATACGTATGTCCGAAAACATGTTCCCTTGATGTGATTATTCACAATGAACCAGTGAGTTTTCACAATGAATTGTTGTGGAGATGAATTTGTGTATTATAAGGGTATTATTCAGTATTAAGAAAATTATTGTTCACTGTAGTGGGCCCATTCGAACATCATTATATAGATATTGATTTTAATTTCATATGCATCTTTCTATGTATGAAAATGCATGAGTTCGATATGTGTTATATATGATAGGTTTTATTAGGTACAGCAAATTAGTTCAATGAACTATGTGAAGAACTTCACAAACGCTAAGATTTACCTAATATTCTTGTTTAATTAACACGAAAGGTTTCGCACTGTTGCTCCCTCAATTGTTCATATAAACTTACTTACTGAAGTTGAGGTAATTGTACTAAGACACCCTGTACAACCAGCAATAGTAGCGAAGTTACGAATCTCGATATTTGCTGACCTTCCTTGGGCGTGGTCGCTCATTGACAAACTCACTTGGGGTACAACTTTTACGAAAATCCAGCCGATAGTTGTTTGAGAAGAATCGAGTATAAAAACACATCAAATTCCCTAATCATCACAGTTGAATCAGTTCAATCATCAAGACAACATGGCATCCAAGGTATGAAAACAAAAAAAAAATCTCAATTTTTTTCCCCTAAAATCAGGTTTTCGATAATTGGCGTTAGTATATAATGATTTACTTACGTAGAAACATTCGATGAACAAGAATAGAGATGGAAGTGAACTCAATATGTTTTCATGTCATATATCATAAGATGTTTAATGGTGCTCAAAATTTCCCTCTTGCACCTTTCGAATAAACCAAAATATTTTTCTTGTTTTTTTAATTATGCTGTTAACTCGTTATAACTGATTTTCTATAGGTTTGTAAACTTTTCACAAAACTCTTGGGATTGTATACAATTTTATCAAGAATTATAATCATCAGGATTAATTACTCAGAATGAGCAAATCTTCAAAATATTTTATGAAGGTAGACAGTACTCCAATATAACCTATCTATTCAATAGCAAATAAGATACTTTCAAGGTTTCAAACACAATGATTATATCTCCTCGTTGAAACGAAAATATGAGTATCATTTCAATATACGTGTGGTGAGGGCAAATCAGATGATTTGGCAAAAAATATCGCTGCGTTTGCGAATTTCACTTCTAGAAAGCCCAAAAGGAAAATTCGATCTGTCCGTGACAGCTTGTTCCAGAGAATGTTTCGAAAACATTCTTAAACGCATTGATTTTTCGGGGCAAATCATCTGATTTTGTCCCTATTATACACCTACCTCTATTGAAACAATACTCATATTTTCAATTCATAGAAACAAGGAGATAAAATCCAACAAAATCTGAAAATATTCGATTTTTAACTATTAACCTACGGACAGTATTCTCCATGAAATTAACTTCGATATATAAAGAGGAATATTCAATTATGATTCGAAATTCTTCATTTTGCAGTTCATCATCTTCGCTGCAGTTATCGCTGCAACCAGGGCCGGTCTCATCGGAGCCCCCCTGGCCACCACTTATGCTGCCCAGCCCATTGCTGTAGCGAAAACAGTAGTTTCTGACGAATACGATCCTCATCCCCAATACTCGTATGGATACGACGTCCAAGACGGTTTGACAGGTGACAGCAAGAGCCAAGTCGAGAGCAGAGACGGTGATGTTGTACAAGGTGAGTTCATCTCGAGGTTTGTGGTCAATCAATCGGAATAGGCAAACATTCATGTACTTCAATGATATGTTACATCACCTTTCAATTATTGTTTATCATTCGAATGATTTCAAAATTATCATGTGAGAATAAAACTTGAGAAGACCATCACAAAATTATTTTTTTCCTGATATTCGTTCAATTGTAACAATTAATTTGTTCCCAACGGAATCGATGCCACTAATTTTCGACTATTTCAGGATCCTACTCTTTGACTGACGCCGATGGACTTCGCCGTACCGTCGACTACACTGCTGACCCAATCAATGGTTTCAACGCCGTAGTACGCAGAGAACCCCTCGTAGCTAAAGCCGTAGTCGCTGCTCCCGCCATTGCCAAAGTAGCAGCTCCCCTTGCCTACGCCGCTCCAGTAGCGAGATACGCAGCTCCCCAGTTGGCTTACTCCGCCCCAGCCATCGCTAAACTATCAGCACCCGCTCATCTTGCCTATGCTGCAGCGCCTGCTCATCTTGCCTATGCTTCAGCGCCCGCCCATGTTGCCTACGCTGCAGCGCCTGCTCGTGTAGCCTACGCTTCAGCACCCGCCCATGTTTCCTACGCTGCAGCACCCGCTCATGTGGCCTATGCTGCCGCTCCTGCCCATATTTCTTATGCCGCCCCATCATTGAGAGTCGGTTCTCCTTTGGCGTACTCTTCGTCCCTCATTCACTAAATTTACTATGTAAATTTTATGTAAATACTTATGATGAGATTGAATAAATTATTTTGGCGAAAAGTTGATTTGATATATTTTGTAAATCATATCTTGGATATACGTATACAGCGATGTCATTTCTACAGTGTACATAATGGGGTTGTACACACTGTAGTCGACTTTACGTCACATGCCTATTTTATATTGATCATTCCGTGTATGAATAGTATTTGATGCAATCATTCGTATATTAAAGTCATCAGAATTATTTTCGATAATTAAATTCGGCGACTTCAGAAAGCGTCTGGTTCGATGACGTCATGAACCGAATTCTGGCTTTCGTATGAATAGTAGGAGCACATATTTCGACGCTGTTAGACTTGCAACTAGTAATTCCTTATAAGATTCTTTATGACCAATGACAATAGTATTTGCATTCACAGAAGACAATAGTTCGACCTGGTCCCTAATAATCACTCATTGAATATTTACTTATATACTTGCAAGATGCATCACTTCCAATAAAATTATCCTAGTATTCCTTATAATGATCAAGATTTCATTTGATTCCAGATTATTTTATGGCACGAACAACAGTGTAATGCCTATAAGTTTCTTGAAATCCAAAAAAAACAACATTGTCAACCTATCCTCCTGATGTTAATATCGGCCGTCATCATCATCGTCAAATCCTTGTTTCCTCTAGTCAAGATATTCAAATATAATCCACATATTATGTGGTTCTTTAGTTGTATATTGGGTTATTTTTGATATCTGCAATACGTATTCAATCCAGAAAATTCATTCCACATTCTGATAGAAATGACAATCAGAAATATTCTTGTATACTTGTCTATCAGAAATAGAGAATTGATACGTAAGGCGAGTCTTATATGGTGTTCTCGGATGATTACGTCAACTGTTTTCCCGCGTTTTTCATGTTATGAAGTTTCGTGCATTTCAATAAATATCCAAAAAAGTTATAGGGCTTTGAGGAAAAATACGGTTTGCGACAGTGAACTATTTGGGGTTAGTACTTCGAAAAAATTAAATACAATTTTCCACTGAAACAGGCCCATTCGAATCATTCACCTCTTCTATATAAAGTGGGGAGACTTCGATCTGATTGAATGAGATATATGATTATATATGTACTTCAAATTGAAGACCACAGAGGAAAAAGGGGGCATGTCACAATATAGTGGAAATTTACTTGACACCATGCACCATCTGATAGCCAAACCACTATATTTTAGTATAAACAAAAGTCCATAGCAATAACGCAGCATAGTCAGCTAATTTGATCGTTTGAAAATACGTTCACATGGGAATGATGCGGAATGTCCATTTCAGAAATGTAGAGAAAGGAGAACGTCCAAGCTTGGTGCTTGCTTGAATACAGATTCCATCGTGATTTTAACAAGTTGTTTCCCTAATGTCAAAAGGTCAAAGTGAACTCTCAGGCAAGCAAAGGATGAGAAAAAAAGAGATTCGGCCACCTTCCTATCATCTCTCGGAGCGTACGAAAGGAAATCCCTATAATGTTCGGGGAACATCGTGGTTACCTAGGAAGAATAGGTAGAGGAGGTAAGTATTGGGATTTTTTTCAACTTTTGGAGATAATAGGTTCTTGAGAATACTTTATTTGGCAAAAACTTCCAAAGCTCTGCCGCTCTATGTTTAAACGAGTTTTAGTAAAGAGTTGTTCGACATATTTTGAGGTTGACGACACAGAAATGTGCTGACTGGGCTCGTCGAGTACGTCTGAGTGATGGGAATAAAATAATGAGATTGCTACATAATGAATCCTTCTAATATCGCGTGTAATTTATAGGAAATGATCAAATTATAGAGATGCTATATGTACTTTATGAAAACGTACCGTTCATTAGGTAGTCAGACAAGAATGGAGAAATGTATACCAGAACAGATAATTGCGATTAAACAAACCAGTTTTCCTCCAACTCGCAAAAACTAAGGAGGTTTTAAACTCTGAAATGCGTTTTTCTCGAAACATATTTTATGTGACAGTCCCCCTTTTTCCCCTGTGGTCTTCAATTGATAATTTCTATCGATTCAATAAGATATACCAGGTGTCCCAAAATTTGAAAAAATTTTAATTACTACCATATAAACAACTATTCATTGAAAGATTCTGTTGCGCTTTGTATGACAAACAGCTAAATCCTCAGAATAATCATTAATGAGGTTGCAGATATATCGGTTACAATAAACATTGTGTCAAATCTCCAGAAACGAATTTATTGTTCATGTTGATGAATAGAGACATGATTATTGCTAAATAAAATTCTGAAGTTTGAAAAAAAATTAATATTACCTTGTATGTATCTGATCGCGAAATTGAGTGCAAATTACCGCACAGGAAAGTGCGATTTTTCAATCACTCTGCTCAGGAAAGTGATTGACACAGATAAAATACAATGTGTTTACATGCCTTTGGGACATATGTTTCATTTCTTTATCAGATGGAGTTGAAATTTGTAGCTCTTGGACTATCGGTTTTGCTATAACGTACTCGTCATTCCTCATTTACTGAATTCACTATGTAAATCTTATGTTAATATGATAAGATTGAATAAATTATTTTGGCAACAAATTGATCGATATCTTCTGTGTATTCAATCTTGGATACACGTATTACGTATACAGGGAATCTTCCTCTTCTATACACAATATCAAGGGGATGACTTGAATAATATCAGAAGGAGTATATATAGGGTGTTCGGTAAACAATGTATCGCATACTCTAGCTGGTAATCATAGTTCATAACCTGTCAGAAAACCACAACTTGACATCAGTTGAATCCTCACGATCTTCGAGATATTGAAACTTTTTCAAAAATATTGAATCCCTGTTTAAACATATGCTGATGTTCTTAGATTCCATCCAGAGAAATTCCATTCGCCTGGTGTGTGATGCTACACTCACTAATTCTTCAACTTCATTAGAACTCCGTAGAAAAGTTGGCGACCTTTCACTTTTCTATAGATACTTCAACGGGAAATGTTTCTCAAAAATATCTGCTTTCATTCCATCACTAGCAATACCACTCAGACGAACCCGTCAGGCCCAGTCAGCACATCCTTTCGTTGATGTCAACCTAGACTCTAGAGATATGTCGAACAACCCTTTACCAAAACTCGTTCGTGGGCTTTGAAATAACGTTTATATATTGTTCAAGATCCATAGATATGTCCTGGTATTGTTTTTTTTATGAAATTGGAATCGTTCAATCTGAATACAAAAAAATATGAATAGACAGTTGGAATGGAAGATTCGGTATTTTGACAAACTTTGATAATCAATAACTCAATTACTCTTCATCTGAATATGCAACTCATATATATTTCTGGAATCGAAAAAAAAAACCTCTATCGACATGTTGAAAAATATATAGGGTGTTTCATTGAAAAAATCAAAGTTATCGTCCTTTCGGGAAAAACGAATGATCCTGTATATGAACCAACTTCACGAAATGAAAGTGTGGGTCGTTTCAAAAAACTTTTCAATTCACCATTTTTCCACATCTGTGAAAACAAAAGAGTTAAGGAGAAGTTCCATTTTAAGAGGCGTACACCGTATATTGAAGATGTATTTTCATATAATATGTAATCAAGTGCGCTAATAATGTCAGGTTGTTGATCTTTCAATATTTTGTCTCTTTCAACACTAACTTGCCGATATGATACTGTATTAAATACATCTAGCTTGCCAAATGTCTCGTCGGCTTCAGATTCACCATATTCAGAGGCATCAAATTCAGAAACATCACACTCAGATTCGCCCTATGCAGAGGCATTACATACAGAAACATTACACTCATAGATACCATACTCAGACTCAGAAACACCAATCATAGAAACTATATACTGCAGATTTTCCGAATATAATTGATGAATCAAGTCGAGCACGTCCCCCAAGTCCATGCAAACAGAGTATCTTCTCCAGCAGAAGGAATAGAAAACAATCAATATCAATTTAGGAACAGAGTTGCATTGAAATGCCCTGTTCTATTCTTATGATCAGGGGTATTGTTGTATAATTCAGTATACCCTATTTGGAAGTTGTATATTCATATATGTAATCAAGTAATGTTACTGTCAGGTTGTTGATTTTGTGAATGTGTTTTTTATAAAATATAATTTCGATCTTCAAGTGAAATAATTCAATTTCCTTTCCGACTCTCTATATTCAGGGAATATAACAATTTACTTGTGATTGAACTTTATTTTTCGAACAGACTCCATTGGTTACTTCTTGATAATTGACTAGAAGACCTAGTATATGACTGAAAGCTCTCATAGCGTATGTTAGTTGCAGAACTTGAAAAATACAAGCAAAATATATAAAAATATCACACCACCTGCATATAATTATCGGAATTGGGGCTCCAACGCATGAGATTTTGATTTCAAAATATTAGCTCCTTGAAGCTGTTGAATCCTGCTACAAAAAACTGAGTCACCCTGTCGTACCGTAGACTACACTGCTGACCCAATCAACGGTTTCAACGCTGTAGTACGTAGAGAACCGCTCGCAGCCAAAGCCATATAGTCGCTGCCCCTGCCCTAGCCAAAGTAGCCGCCCCAGTGTTACACTTCGTTCATGACGTTACGAAAAATACTGCAGAAAACAGAGCTATGCATTATTGTTTACCTACTTTTCACTCTTTTTTTCATTGGTTTATAATTGAATTCATCTGTGATGTTTACTACTGGCTATCGATTGGTATTTCTCTGTTCGTTGTTATTGATTCTAACTCTATTTTTGCTGTAAATAAGGAATAATATTGTGATTTTTAGCCTACTAGTTATCGTTATTGCATACCTCTTGGTCAGAATGTTTTGTTTACAAATTTTGGTAGATAGGTAGTTGGTTCCTGGAATTGTCGCACATGACTGATTCAGTCCACAGGTATTTCGCCAAATTTCATCTTGAATTTCGAGTATATCATTCTTGTAATTATTGTTGCCGTTATATTTCCAAATAAATATCATTGTTATGTAATTATTGTAATTATTGAAAATGTCACTGTCAGCTTGATGACGTTTAGTCTCTATTGACGGTAATGACACTAATGACGGATGACCACTATCTGCGAACCTCTGCATGCATCTTCTCGAATTTTCAACATTGTCATCATGGGACATTGACCCATAGTTCCCTTGCTATCATCACGAATACGGGCTCTAACGGATCACAATCAGCACCATATCTCGTTATGATGATTTGGCACTCTGTATCTTCGCCATTATGTACCTGTTTGTTGATTTGGCACTAATTCCTTGTAAGTATGGGCGTTATGGGTTATGTTACATGGTGATAAAGGGTCATCGCACGGGAAGAAGATGATGACGTATTTCGCCCCACTATTCAGGTCTACAATGATCCTCAGTTGCGCATGACCGCGTTTGAATATTTGAAGTTTCAAATCCAAACAATAATAACTGGCAATAATATATTCTGACTTGAAATAAATGGTGATTTAATGATATTCCTTCTTTTCTGATGGTCTCGACACCTCTCTTGATATTATCGACATAGTTTTCACTACCATGGTGAGGTAGAAATGCCATGTACAGGGTGTTCGCGGGGATATCTCCCGCCTATAATTTTATATCGTCCGGTGATTGATGTGTGTGGGAGTATAGGGGAAGATACACAAAAAAGGGTGATTTTCCAGTGAGATGTGGCAAGGACAGCCCCTTCGATCTTCATAGGCACCATTTTGTCTGCAGCAGTCTACCAGCCTGGTCACAAAAGTAAGCCGTGAGATCTGTTTCTTGAATAATTTCGAATTTGTGTAATATTCGATTTTCCATTACTTAGTGTTGGGATTAATTAGGAAAAGATCTCAAATTTGGGATATCCATTATCATCGCTGGGATGATGGGATTCCTGTTGCCTCTATAGAGGGATTCTTCGTGGCTGAAATCCACGTGGCCGAGCCGACCTACATCACCACTTCTGGAACCCACACAACATCCAAGGTACTATATATTCTTTTAATCATCAGCTGCTATTTTCTTGTCATTCCTTGTGTTGGTAAAAATAACGCACGATTGTCGTCATTCCACATAGGGTTCCTTTTATCGGGCCAAAGCCTCCTCTCCCGACTGTCGCACTCAAGTTTTGCGCCCCATCAGCTCAGACCTGGGACTGTCTTATAGTCGTCGGCAGTCAACGCTTCGCTGCGTCAATTCGCGTTTTTGGGGCCTGCTCGTTTGTGGCTGAAAGGCGACATACAGGAGACACCACCTGACGCTGCCTGACTTCACGTACCTGATCCCCCTGTACATCAGAGCCAGATGATACACATCAGGACCTGCTCATAATTTGGTGAGTTCGTTCCATGCACCACCAGGGATAGTATTTTACTTGGGATAAACTACCACCAACCATAATTCATCAGTTTTAAATTTCATTCAACATAATATAATTGCAACATGACATTGATTTAATAGACACTCAGTATAGCTACAAAATATACCCCTGTGAACCAAAAGTGCACTGCGGTAAAATAGGCCTTATTATTTCTTTTGTCTCATTGATACTGATTTACTGAGTTATTTTGTTGATTAATAAGCTATATATTATATCATACTGTCTCAGAGAGTTGATTTTGAGCAGTGATTGTATTATTTTACACTGATCTGAAGAGTTGATTTCAGTCAGTCAATTTATATTTCTTGTTGTTGCAATAATTGTACACTGTTCAGGTAATATTACTATTGATACTCATTTACTTTGGAAGTCTTGAGCCAACTAAGCATATTCATCCCTATCAAACTTAGTATTTTACTAAGCCTAACGTACCCACCCATTTGTCCCGCTGAACTACCAGTGTCTAGTTTCTACGGTATCAAACTGGGCACTAAAAACACTTTTTCTGTTGTCAATACGTTTAAGATTTAAAACACCTAATAAATCTTAGGTAATTCATCAACCAAACTCAGGGGTAAATAAAATTCTATTCCATCTTTTTTTTACTACTCACCCCCTGAGATTTAAAGGCATAACACCAGTAGCAATTGCCGCCCCGGCAATCACCAGATACGCCGCCCCCGTTTCCCACCTGGCTTACTCCGCCCCTGCGATCGCTCCTGCTCATGTTCCTATGCTGCTGCACCCGCTCATGTTTCATACGCTGCAGCACCCTTTCCGACTCTCTATATTCAGGGAATATAACAATTAACTTGTGATTGAACTTTATTTTTCGAACAGACTCCATTGGTTACTTCTTAATAATTGACAAGAAGACCTAGTATGACTGAAAGCTTTCATAGCGTATGTTAGTTGCAGAACTTGAAAAATACAAGCAAAATATATAAAAATATCACACCACCTGCACATACTTATCGGAATTGGGGCTCCTACGCATGAGATTTTCATTTCAGAATATTATCTCCTTGAAGCTGTTGAATCCTGCTACAAAAAACTGAGTCACCCTGTATATCACACAGGAATTCGTTTGGAACAAATCTTGAAACATGTACCTATTCCAGGATAGGAATATTAATATTCAGATATGAATTCCACCAAATCAGGTCGTCCTTATAATATAGGACATTATTGCGTGCTATTTAACCGCAGTATATTGGCTGTGACTGGAAATTATCTCTATTATTTCGCATATCAGGTTATAATAACAGAATTCGAAAGGGATATTAAGGAATTCTGAAACATTGTGATCATCAAGATGTTCTTACATCATTTTCTGCAAGCGACATTAGCCGGATTGTTACCAATTTGCGTAATTTGTTGACCTTCCTTGGGCGTGGTGACTGAACAAATTCTGTTATACCTACTGGAAGTACAACTTTTACGAAAATCAAACGAAAAGTTGTTTGCAAGTAATCCACTATAAAAACACAATCAAAACTCCTATTCGGCACAGTTGAATCCATTCAATCATCAAGAAAACATGGCTTTCAAGGTATGAAAACTATAAGTACAATATACGATACTCTATACTCTGGTATACCTGCAGATCTTATTTTACTTGCTCAAGAAAATTACCAAATAGTAATCGTTCAAGAATCGATCAAACTCTGTTAGTTTTGGATGCCTGTAAATTGAGAAATTAGGAAGAAAATTATATTGAGTAGGGTATTTAAGGAAAGCAAGGTTATTTTTTCCAATGAAAAGAAAATATAAAGAGTGTTCAACTCGAAATTCATACACTTTCGCTGTTGCCGTTGATTCGAGAAGGAAGTAAAATCCCCTGTGAGTCTGTTTTTTCAAATTCTTTTAATGTTGAAAATAAAAGAGTTGAAAGGGGTGGTACCTTTATAACGGCACCTGCTATATGAGGGGTTACTTCAAACTCAGAAAAATCAAATCGAACCATCTCAACAACCCCTATTTCCATTTTGAATTTCCACCGGATATTTTTCAGTAACCAATGAGATAATAGTGAAAACTCTGAAATTGATATCTTGTCTGATCTCTCTTATAGCAATATTTTCGTGAATACTTCAACTATTAGCTGAGAATGTTCCTATACAAGTTCGAAAGTTATAGTTATTTGAGTGATGAAATTAATAACAAAAAAAAATCTATTGGGCGAATAATTCAACATCCGTTCTACTTTGAAATTATGGATTTGTAATTTGTATAACCACTGGTTTATTTTTCAGTTGATCATCTTCGCTGCAGTTATCGCTGCATCCAGGGCCGGCCTCATTGGAGCCCCTCTCGTTGCCCAACCTGTTGCTGTGGCCAAAACCGTAGTTTCTGACGAATACGATCCTCATCCTCAGTACTCGTACGGATACGACGTCCAAGACGGTTTGACAGGTGACAGCAAGAGCCAGGTTGAGAGCAGAGACGGAGATGTTGTTCACGGTAATTTATTGTCGTAAGGCTATTTTTCCGATTATTGATCTGTTGCGTTTCGAATTGATAGAATTATAATATGCGGACGGAATACTTATCTTAAAATGTGTACCTACCAAAATAGCAATGATATTCACTCAAATTATGAGTTGAAAGGAAGAATATAGAATTCTATATTGGAAAAGTGTTTGCAAAAGATATTCATCTTTAACTCCTCATTTCTTTACATGAATTCTTCACTTCGTCACTTCGTCACTTCAATAGACAGTATCAGAACGACCATCGCTAATTTAATGTTCACCCCATATAACAGGGTGTTAGTGAATTAAGTATTTTAGGCATCAAAGTTCATGTAAACATATGTCCCAACTAGCTTCGTTTTCGATTAACAGGATGTTGAAGTTGGAAGTATTGATTGTTTTCATTCATCATCCCCCTGTATAAGCTTACATGATGCCAAAATTCAGTATGGAGGCAGATAGACAAAGTGCCAAGATTTCAAAATGGATTCTTATTGAGGTTACTAAGTAATCTCAGAGAGAGAATTATTCAATCAGATGAAAATAAACCCAGTGGCGTACAATGATATCCACCATAAATATAGAATGGAAATATTATTTTGAATCTAATTACACCAAAAGAAGCTCCATGTTACTATCAACAAAACCAGCAAGTTTTATTGGAATTGATGAAAATACATTTGAATGAATGAAAAAACAATTCTTCACGGAAATATTGATACCCCCTGTATCTAAAAAACGAAACAAGTTAGGATACATGTTTATATAAACTTAATTTCCTAAAGTATCAGGAAGAATCACCTCCTGAAGTTTGTCGGGCTTATTCACTAACACTCTGTATATCAGTCTATCAGCGCTGATACAATGACATGGTGTGATAGGTCTGAATTACAAGACTTTGTCAATCGATAGATCCTAATTTGTAAAAAAATCCTATGAATATTGCTCTTAGAAGGCTTTGTTTACGAGATTCAGATGACAAACGAGATGTGGCTGATGAAGTACCAAAATTGTGTGGCGAAGAAAAACAACATATACCTAGGTGTGTTTATATTTTTACATGAAGTGTGGTCGACCGACTTTGAGTTCGTGTTTTTCCATTGAAAATACGTTAGACATCTTTGAGTATGGATGATTCCTATGGTTTACCCTGTATATATTCACTATTCTGCAAGGTACTGGAGGAATGTGATCTCAGTTATTTCATTCACTGCTTTGGAAAAATACATAAATGGGTACACCTAACAATTCAAAGATAATCCAGCAAATTAACGAAAACTATATATAAATGAGAACAGGCGATCTTTGATTTTTGCTCAGAATATTAATGACATTCTGGCGAACCTGTATATCTAGTTCGAGCAGTTGTTGAGTTTAACAATTCGAATAATTCTGAAAATACATCTGTGATAAGTACTTTGTGTTGGACTTAATAGCAACGCCACTTCAGGAGTTTCACTATCAATTTGAACGAAACAGAAAATCGTACACGTCAACTCATATTTATTTCTTCATATTTCTTTAGGATCGTACTCCCTGACTGACGCCGATGGCCTTCGTCGTACCGTAGACTACACTGCTGACCCAATCAACGGTTTCAACGCTGTAGTACGTAGAGAACCGCTCGCAGCCAAAGCCATAGTCGCTGCCCCTGCCCTAGCCAAAGTAGCCGCCCCAGTAGCAATTGCCGCCCCAGCAATCGCCAGATACGCCGCCCCCGTTTCCCACCTGGCTTACTCCGCCCCTGCGATCGCTCCTGCTCATGTTGCCTATGCTGCTGCACCCGCCCATGTTTCATACGCTGCAGCACCCGCCCATGTTTCATATGCTGCTGCACCCGCCCATGTTTCATATGCTGCAGCACCTGCCCATGTTTCATATGGTGCCGCCCCAACCCATGTGTCCTATGCCGCCCCATCCTTGGCATACTCGTCCCTCATTCACTAAGTGCATGAATGTTTTGTAAATAATATTAAATTCAATAAATTATTTTGGCTTCTAATGATATACACATTTTATTTATGAAGAAAATCTCCAATACCTATATCTTCTATTCCTAGTTTTTCTCAACAGTAAAGACACAAAATCTTTTTAAAATCGGATTAATTTATCTTCCTATAAAGAAGCAATTTGACAATCAGTCAATTTAATCTTTGGTAGAAGTCCATATTGCTCAGAGTGGAGTGAAATATTTCACAGGAAGGAAGGAATGTTCGAGGTTTCTTAATTGAACCATATGTCTAGACTGGTAATTTTTCTTTGTAGTAGAATCTTCTTGAAGAAATGGACTAGGGTTGCTCGACTAGCAGTGGTTAATCTTTGATAGAAGTACATATTGCTCAAAGTCGAGTCAAATATTGAATTTGTGGAGATGACTTTGAGCATTCCTTCCTTCCTGTTGATCAGTCAGTTTCCTCATCAAATTACTTATGTAAAATTCCTGAGTAAGTTTTGTTTATTGTTTCAGTTAAAAATTCTGTGGGAATTTTATCGTTTGTGAAGTTTTTTAGATTTTCTATAGATTCACATCGATTAACAGCTGTCAATATTTACTAATATCCACATTTTTCTTCATAGAAATGGTTGTTCTCAACATACTGTAGTGTAGTGCGTCCACATTTCAAATTCCTTAAATTCATTCTCGTACCTATCCCGGGCAGGTACTGAAGTTTCAATTGCTACATGCATTCGCCACAATTTCTATATCGGAATCTGAACTTTCCTGATCCGAATTCATGCCGATGAATACTCGTATCGTGAATATTTATTATGTGAGCAAAAATCATGCTATCAGAATATGTATACAAAACTTGAGAAATTAAAAACTTCGATACCTCATCTTCTACGTCAGAAGAAAACTTCTTAAGCTACTCTTACATTACAGCCTTTTTGCAGCAACTTTATTGCAAGCAATATAAATTGCACACAAAATTAAAAACTAGAGAAACTAGTCTTCTTACATTTGCGACATTTTCCAAGACTTTTTCAGAGTTTTCGAACTATTGACGTTGACATTTGACATCATTTTTGACATTATAAGTTGTTGATATTTCAAAATAAACAAGTCAAGCGAAATTAGGTGGAAATTCATTTTGAAAATGGATAAAGAAAAAATACAAGTTTTACTCATGGCAATAACTACTACTGCTGCTCTTGCCACTTACATAAAAAGGCGCATGGAAAACAGGAGGAATAGATCCTGTTGGAACAAACCATGGTTAATTAAAACAATGGGAAACTTAAGAATAACTAATGAATCCAAAGAGTGTAATGACTTGAAAGCCTTTAAAAACTATCTGAGAATGGATGAGCCTACATTTAATGTTAATGATTCTTCTTCTACTTTATAGTCGACCATTATACAGAACCACCAACACAAAAATTAAGTTGTCAAAATCTAAAATCACTAAAAATATGCAAAGTTGCGCGTGAATGACCTTCAAAATTAGAAACATTTCTATATATTTCAAGCCTGAAAGTTGCAGTGAAAATAGGCCGAAACGCATGCGCAATTATTGTTTAACAAAGGCCAGCAATTCAGTTGCCAGCAATTTCTATGAAAAGGCTGTAATGTAAGAGTAGCTTTATCACAAAGGTTAGAGGATTCAACGCAAAATCCAGTGGCGCACTGGAATTTCATTTTCCGGCGGGTAGGAAAAATGGACATCAATCCAATGAATGAGTTACTGAATAATTTCAAAATTCAATTGTTCCAGGTGCTTATTCTACATTATGAACTTTTTATGACTATTTATTTGATGCTACCAGGTACCTGAGTTTTTGTTTTATTAGTTAATTAGTGTTGATATGGTATTCGTCCATATTCCTTATTCAATTGAGATTTTTTATATGAAAAATCCATAGCCCATGCACTAATAAAATTCAATGTTTATATTTATACATCTTATATCATTTTGGAGGGAAAAAATATGGAATTCGATGGCTTATAGATTACAGGGTGTTCCATTTGAAGAATCATAAAAAAATTTGTGCGCTACTGAATTCTTCGTGGAATTCTGTTTGGGGATTGGATTCTGCTTTGACGATTTCGCTGAGAAACTCCGTAGATATTGTCAAGAAGTACAAATGCCTATGAATTAACATCACTCAAACTCTCGTTCATTTCAAGATCCTTCATCATAAATTAACTTTTCCAAATTGAAACATCCAGTATATTGTAGTTCCGATCAGGTCAGCGGAGTTCATAGACGTCAGTTCCTTTAAAAGTTGCAAAAAAACGCTCACCGTGCGATAATACCTAGGTAAGCAATATCCAAAGGTAACGGCCATTCCCATTGCGGAAAATTACGAACCTAGCATCGATTCCGAATATAAATAGTACTCGAGTCGATAAGGCATTATTATTATCAATACAAGTTATTGGTAATTATCAATTGAAAATGTTCGCCGTCTCCCCGACTTCAATCCTGCTGGTCAACCCCATGCAAGACGTTGTAATTTGAGTACTGTTTTTTTTCAAGTGTTGTTTTGCGTTGTGTTTCATTTGGCAAGCCATTATGTTCTTTTTTCTTTGCTAACCCGCCATGTGGCAAGCATTTATCCACGATTTTTCCATTTGATCAATAAATGTCAAATTTTATATGAAAACTGTCTTGACTCTTTATTTGGGGATGAATGTGGTTGGGTGGAGAAATGATCAAAACCTCTCGTCAAAAAGCCAAGCGAGTAGCTATGTTACGACCTATAGAAGGGTGAACATCTGAGTTGCGACAATAAAGAGGAAGTCCAAAAAGTATAAAGTTTCGAAATCGCCCTGTATCTCATAAACGGAAACAGTCATGCAAAATCTGATATGGCCATCTTGAGTTTCACAAAAAAGTGGCACAGGACCGCGAAAATAGCAAGGTCCTATCTCCAATGATAACTGCATACAGGGTGTAAATTTGAAAACTTTCAATGCGAATATCTCGCGAAATAAAATAGTGAGAAAAACGCCGCTTGGCAAAAATGCTAAAGTGTTTAGGGGAACTAGAACCACCATATTTCAGTAAAGGGATGAGTCACCCTGTCAGCGCAATACTTCGAAATGTCAAATGGCACTACCTCTTTTGTGATACCTACCTCAAATGAACGGTCTCAGTCAGTAGTATCCACCTGTATAAGACTTTTTTTCCATCCACTACAGGGTGTACGAAAAACATTAATTCGAGGGTCTTGATTTTAAAACTTTCAATGCGAATATCTCGCTAAATGAAACATTTAGGAAAACGCCGTTTGGCACAAATGCTACAGAGTTAGGGGAAACTAGAACCACCATACTTCAGTAAAGGGATGAGTCACCCCGTCGGCGCGACATACTCCATCTTTGAAATGTCAAATGGCACTACCTCCTTTGTGATACCTCAAATGAACGGTCTGAGTCAGTAGTATCCACCTGTACAAGACTTTTTTTCCACCCACTACAGGGTGAACGGAAAACAAAGTCGAATAAAATGAAATGCAGAATGCCGATATATTCCAAGAGATGTGTTCCAAAATGTTAGAATGGCATTTGAACATCGATTATACTATTGCTTACAACAGAATGGAATACATTTCGAACATCTGATCAAATAAAATTTCCTTTAAAAACAAAATAATTTTATTTTATTCGACTTTATATTTTTCGTACACCCTGTAGTTGGTGGGAAAAAAGTCTTGTACGGGTGAATACTACTGACTGAGACTGTTCATTTGAGGCATCACAAAAAGGTAGTGCCATTTGACATCTCAAAGTTGGGGTGTGTCGCGCCGACGGGGTGACTCATCCCTTGACCGAAATATGGTAGTTCTAGTTCCCCTTAACTCTTCAGCATTTTTGCTAAACGGCGTTTTTCTAACTTTTTTCTTTCGCGAGATATTCGCATTGAAAGTTTTCAAATTTACACCCTGTATATCACGCAAAAGCATCGGAAACGGGACACACTGTACATATATACAGTGTGGAGACTTTAACTAAAATGAATTTGTTAGCGGAGAGGTGAATATTTTCTCTAAAAATTCCCGACAGACATGAACGATTTTATATATTACCTACCTTCTGCGACCAATATCGAGAATATGGAATCATATGGCTTTTGACCCCTCATTGGAAAGCTGGTGAAAAGAGTATTCCAGCGTACTAGTCAAATTTTGGTTTTTCATACGTTTAAAGGTTGCATAAAATTAGAATATATTATTTCAAGATTGAATTCAAAATGTATCAATCGCTCAAAATGTGTGTTGAACAATTGACCCCCAAACGTACTGCAAACTGAGTATGTTTGGTTCCTATTCCAACCAGATTTTCAATGAAGGGTCGCAAGTCATAGGGATACATTCGAAGGGATATGTTCTCCATATTGCTAAATGTAGGTAGATACATTTGAATAACGTAGATGCGTCTCGCAAATTTTCAGAAAAATCATTCACTTCCCCAGTAGCGAGTTTATTCCAGTTGAAGTCTCCACCCTGTATGTGTGACCCACATCTTTCAATACCCAATTATATCGGCCACAATCAGTGCTTATTACAAAGTTTCTCGTCTTTCAGCGAACAAGTTTGAATAGATGATATACTGGACCAGTTAACATTTCGCATCTGGAGCTTGATGAACTTGACCTAATATAATATAACAGTCACTTGATTGTCTTGCAGATATTCGCAGATGATAATATCATTTGAGATGAAGTTCCTAGCATTGATATTGTTTTGATTTATTCTTGAGATGAAATGTAACTTTCAGTGGTGTGATTGCAAGTTTGGATATGCATGTTTGGAGAACAAGCGAGCCAGCAAGAAAGTAACTATTATAAACAAGTCATGAAATAGTTATTCATGAACCAAGGAAGGAGCACTTTATAGTGATAGCCTAGGCACAGCCGGGGCTAGAAATCTGGCGAGACAATATAGATAGTTTTTCACCGAGGTGCATATTGATTTTTTCGTAGACTCGAGGTCTACGAAAA